ATTTTTATTTGTATATAGGGCTTAATGATTCTGTCCAAACCATAGATTTGAACTGAAATCTGCTACAACGTGCTGAGTGCCACATTGCTCCAGCAGTAAGCAAATCTCTCCTAGAACTGCCTTCAGGTGCAATATCCCTCATGGCCTATATTTAAAAGTCATGTCTTGACTATTAGGGATTCATCTCAACATTATTTTATCCTGTTCCACCTGTACAAGACAAGGTCTTGTGTTCCCTTCTGGGAAGGACACATCCCTGGAGTCACTGCAGGGGCAGTTCTATAGGCCCTTATTATCACAAATTCAGACTTATTTCAGAATAGTCCTAAAGTTTCTTGTTCTCCAAAGCTGGCCCATGGCATTTCAGCCTGGCTCTGTGCTGGTCACCAAAGCACAGTGCAGACACACTCAAAGTGTTCACTGTGCTGTGATTCTCACTTCAACACTTCCAGAAATAGTAATGTTGCACATTTAGTCAGGATCTGTTTGAGGAAAGTGCATCTCTAATAACCATCAAAATACAAAGGCAGTCAAATGTTAACGCTCTTCTTTCCACCCCTTTGTCTCACACTGTTCTAAGGAAGCTTTATAAACCATGCTGAGGAGGGGAGAGTCCAGCACTGAGAAAAGTGTAAGATAGGCTCTTTTATTTCTTCTTTCCTGAAGAGAGAACAGCTTCCACTGAAGCAGGGAAACAGAAAATGAACTTCTGAGGCAGTCATGCAAAATTTCAGACAGATCCTTACTTGTGTGATTCTGTTTAATCACCGTCCATTTCCTCTTCACTCTTTAACTAAATAATAAATATGGAGTGGCTTTTTTCATTACCATATGAGCTAGAACTGGTCCTGGAGCAAATATGAAAATAAGGGGTGAGGCTTGAAATCAGAGGGTTTCACTGATTTTAAATACGAGGCACCTGTCTGTGTACATTTCTAATCCAGTAATTAATCCAGCACCTTTTTATCTTAGGAACTCTCAGGAGTAATTTCCACATCTGAGTGTAGCACACATCATAAATCCACTCCAAATGATTTTTTAATTTGTCCTTTCCAATTCTGGTTTGAATTGACATTTTGTTCTGGTTGAAGTGGCATCCACAGACGCCTTCTCCCCTGCAATTAGCTGAGATTAAGCGGTTGGAGAACCAGCACAGCGAAGATCAGAAATGCTTATAGTTACTGATGTTTTGATCATACTTAACAGCAGAACAGCAGTAGGCTGTAGTTTGTGACTTTAAGATGCATAAATAAATATATTTCTGTGACTGCATTAAAATGATCTGTAGCAGGCTGTGCTAGCAAGTGGACCATGTTTTTTACTGCTAACAAGCAGCTTATGTGCTGAAGTCTGTCTGCAGCTTCAGTGCAAAACTCACAGAGCCTCATCCCTTCCTTTGGTTCTATCTTCCTGTGCTGCTTAATGACGTGCTAAAAAATAACTCAGTGTGTTCCAGTTGCAGATTTGGATTTATCTAATCATTGGCAATCTGAAAGCATTCAGAGCTTTGGGTTACTTGTATCTTATATAAATGCCACAGATGGACCTCTGGAGCATGTGTCCCAACCACGCCAGCAATGTGAGCAGCCTGAGACAGGCAGCACTGCTCAAGGTTTGAGTCACCCCCTATTGAATTTAATAGCAGCTGAGCAGCCAAAACCCCTTATCAGAGCTGTGGGAGTGTGTCCTGGGGTGAGTGTACACTGGCCACAAATGCCTGAATCCTATCAGGCAGCACTGGCTGCTCAGCTGCAGCCTGGGCAGGGTTCAGGGACAGGGAGCAAAGCTGGACACATGGCTGAGTCCACCTGAGCACTCAGGAGCTGAGACTATCAGTGCACTTGCACACCTCAAGTGCTTTTTAGAAACTTAATAGTTCAGTTTCTGGCACTTGCAGTCCAGGGTTGAGATGCTATGAGAACAACCAGTTGTAGAGTGCTTTGGCCTTTGTATTTCCTGTGGTCCTGGGAAGATCAGATAAATAAATGACAAATTAAATAAACAGATGCCCCAAACTCAGAAGTCTTTCATATCCCTCTCCTCAAAAATTTTTGTTCTATGTTTTAAATTCCCCAGCTGCTCAACAGCTGTTTGCAATCCTGCTGCTCTTTTCCCCCTGCCTGAGCTTGTTCCTTATCTCTGTCAGCATATTGTGGGATGCTTTGCCCCTCACTGAGGTAACATTTATGTACTGAAATCAAAGCCACATAAATGATGGGCTGCTCATCTTATCCTGCAGTCACTAAAATTCCCTGGCAATTACATGTGTCTTTGCATGTATAGAAAATACATACACACAGAATTGCTTGAATAAGAGTAATCTAGGAGATCAAGGCACCTACAGGGGAGGCTCAGAGCAGGAGCTGAGAAAGAGAGGAGAATCTAGAGAGATGGGAAATGGGAAAAGTGTAACAAGAGAAAATATTTTTCTTAAAAGCTGGAGAAGGAAACAGTAAAAATCATTTTATCTTGAGGGATTTTCAGCAGGTGGACTCCTGTGGCAGATCTTTCTGGAAGGATAGCATCTGTTTTTCATAAATAGTTGTTGAGCAACTTTAAATGAATTTGCATAAGAAGGAAGCATCATTATCTTCATTATACCTATGGGAAAGCTTAGGAAAAGAGAACTGGTTTGCTTAAAGTTACACTTTCCACCAGCTGAAACAGCAATAGGCTCTTGAGTCACTCTTCATTGCTTCCTTGGCAGAGATCTTGCTCTGCTGTGCCATCAGTTCTCAGTATGCACAGACAAAGGCAAAGTGGTTTTGGTAGACATTTCTCACTGTTGTTCAGCTAGATTTGTTTGCTAAGTAGAAGTGATCACTTTCTACTTTTGTTGTCCAAATGTCATGGTACCTTTCCCACGACTCTGTAGTTTAATTATAAAAGATGCTGCTCACCACTGTTTCATGCTTTTAAAAAATGTTTCCTCACAAAGTCCCAGGAAAAATATGGGCCTGTTCCCAGATGTCTAATACAGTCCAAAGAGCATCCTCGGAATGATACTGCACTTAGCATCCCAGACAAGAGGGATGTGCAAGGCATCAGCACACATGGTCATGGAAATGTTTCCTGACAGTGTTGGCACAACCAGAAAATTTGAGAAAAGAGAGATCTGAGACATTTCTGAGACTTCCACATTTTTGCTTATTACATTTTTTTTTTATTTCTCTATTGGCTGTTCCCAGTTTCTTCCAAAGCTCGAGTTTGAAAAGCCACAATAGTCCAAGTCAGGTGATGACTGCAGTGTGTTGATTTGTGGGGTGCTGACAATGGGGCACCAGGACCCTCCACATCCCCTGCTGCTGGGATGAGGCGGCTGCTGATGGGGATGGCAGTGCAACAACCACTCTTCCCCAAACTGAGATGCTCTAGCAGCATTACTGTAATAATATTTGCAAATAATATTTTGTATATGATGGAGATTGAGTTTGGGTGGAAACTGGTTTTGGTCATGGCCAAGCAATCCATTTGGTACGCTGCTGACACACATGCAACCATCTTAAATTCTAAAAAAACAGGAATGAAGAGAAGAGGCAATGATTGCTGAGGGCCCTGTCACCCATGTGCTGGCAGGTCACAGCTGATTGTTCTGCTCCACGTGTGTTTGCTGCCTCTGCTAATCCAAATAGGCTGAAGCAATTTATTATTCCTCTGCCTTTTTGCAAACCACCCACTGGCAGCAGCCAGTCAATCCATTGCTTCCACCAGCACTGGAGACCCTGCACAGAGCCAGCTGCTCACAGCCAGAGGTGCCTTCAGCCCCACAGCCTCTGGCACACTGGTGTTACTCAGTGGCAGAAGCACTCAGCCCCACAGCCCACTGAGGACTGAGGAGCATCACCTTCACAAGTGGAAGCCTTCTGGTCCATATGAGGAGCTGGCATGGAAAAAATACACAGGACAGTTGGCAATGTGGGCAAAATCTTCATGTCTGTAAATGCAGCTCTCCTTTTCCTTGAATACTGAGGCCATCATCTATAGTCATCCATTATTTTCCTTTAGGCTAGAGGGAAACTGTGGAAGGTCTGCTTCAGGGAGAAGATGACCCCCAGTGTAACCCTCTGAGGAGGAGGCAGTGAGCAGACCCTGAGGATTTCCTTGCTGCTCCTTCTTGTTCTTTTACAGCCAAAATACCCAGGGGTAAAGTAGCAGTGTAAAGAGTGTAAGAGTGATTTTGATAATGAACTTCAGTTTTTCCTTTTTCATAATAATGAAAGTGAAGTTCTTTTGAAATGTCATTATCTTCTACATTTACTGCATATCTGCAGGACTCAGTTCATCATGGTCCAGGACAAGTGCTTTAGCTGCTTGCCCTGTGCCACCCCAGGGGCCACTGCCTTGCACTCAAATATGTAATATTACAGAAGTGATAAAAGATCTTGGTACAACACAAGGCAGGAAAGTACCTCACTTCAGGGAGACTGTAGGAGGAATTTCAGCCAGCAATGAACAACTAGCAAGTTTTGATTTGCCTTTTATCCAGAGCATAAACCTTTAGCTTTTCAGAATTTTTCAGTGAAATTTTATGATAACAAATCAAAACCTCACTTCTGAAACTATTCAGGATATGTCACTGAGTATCACAGTAAAGTATTGGACTGTTCTGCATCATGCAGCTGAATCTTTGATGACACTTATTGAACCAAGCTTTTTCAAATATTCATCCATCACAACTCAATTCTAAAACAAGAAATTGTAGTGGTTCTTTAAAAGACAGAGCATCTCTCTTTTTAAATATATAAGGGAAATAGAAAGGGAACATGAGTTCATGAGTGCTTTGTGTAAGTTTTGATGGATGCAAAAAGAAAACCATGTGAGAAGCTCCTTCCTTTCTGCACTATGCTGCTTTCTTGCGCTGTTATCTCATCTAATTTTGCATCCAATTTAAAGGACCTTCAAAGGTGATTCTGTAAATGCAAGCTATGGCATCAACACAGCCTCTCAGGTCCTTTCAAAAAACATTCAATTGCTGTCATTCTTGTGTTTATTTTGCCCAGTGAACAGCAGCAAGCACATAGTGAGGAAATACCGCGGGCACCTGCGGACGAAGATTGAGTCTGGCGAAGGGACCATCCCTGTGCGGTGCCACAACGCGGCGCAGACGTGGGACGGCGTCCTGCTGGGAGAGCAGCTCATCACCATGTCCTGCACAGACAAAATTGCCAGGTACGTGATGGATATCCGTGGCAAAAGTCTTTGCACGTGGAAGCTGGATGCCAGAGAGGATTATGGTGACCGGTGGGAAGCAGCCAGTAGGTGCTGACGAGCCCTGCAGGAACAAAGACCTCCTTTGTATGCAAAAGCAGACCATAAAAATAGGAGGGAATGTAAATAGGACATTCTCCCAAATTCTCTGTGGGTCGTTAGTTGCTTAGTACAGTGTGACAAAAAAATAAACTACCTTTGCAGGGTTTTTTTGCCAATAGAATTTCACTGTGCAAATAAAATACATCCACTTCGCTGTTCTTGGATCATTTACCCCAAAACTTGCAAACCAACTGTCTTACAGATAAACTTAGCTAGTCTGCACCAAATTGAATTAAGTCCCCTAAAAGCCATCAGGAATATTTCTGCTATTTTGAATTTCATTGAAGAGGTCTCATGTCACAACCCCCTCTGTGGGTTTCTGCTATGCCCTGTCAATAAAACATGTATTTATGTAGAATAATTTTCATGTAATAAATATTTCATAATTATTCCCTGGTGACAAAATGTAAACACATTCACCATTCTCAGTTAGGGTGTTAATTAATAGCAGGTAATGGCTAACACAATCCAAAATCAAAACGGGTGTGCCTGGTTGCAGTTATTGCATTATTAGTATATATCTATACATGTATGTATATTTATCTTCAAAGTTTATACATATATATGTATATAATGTACATTATATATATATAGATGCAGTTCTACATATAAAATAAATCACAGTATAGCTATAAAAACATAAATGTTATGATCAAATTCTCTGCTGGAATGCCTAAGTACTCAGTTAAATTACATCAGTCAAAAATTTGGCCCAATTATTAAAACCCAACATAGACTTAATATTTCCAAAAAAATCATAGAAATTTTGTTTAATCCAAATGCATAAATTCTGCTCTGAGCTTTAACTGGATGACCTACCAAAGCTACATTAGTCTGTCAACTTAGCAAAGCCTGCCATTTTGTCACAAAAATGTAGAAGTGAACCAGCAAATGGAAATGCTATCAGACTTACAAAATCCACCCTCTGGTAAGCATAATCATCACAACTGTTGTGCTTGCATGAAGGAAAAGAGCAACTTCTGCTGTAATGTTTTCATTTGCTCACAAGGAGATAACAGAAAACCCAGACTGTGTTTGGTGGATCTCCTCCACTGCGTGTAGATGCAGTTGGGTTTTCCAAATTCAAACTCATATGGACTCAAAAAACTAGACAATTTTAAGTTCAAGGATAGAAATATTGCACTCTCTGTGGTTTTTAATGTCACTAGCCAGTGAATTAAATACCAGCTTTGCAAATGCTATTACGTTTCCTATTGATGGGGATGTTGACAGCAATGCAAGTCTCAGGAGTTGGGTTTTCTCCAAGCACATCTGCTAAGCACTTTGAGTGAATCCTTTCATTGTTGACACACATCTAAGCAGTACTGAAGTCTTTGAGGAAAAGAAGAATCTACCACAAAGTTTTGCATCTCTCATTATTGACAGTATTATTTCAATATTGTAAGAAAAACTGCACTTTTTATTATTTTATTTTTATGATTTATTTGCAATGTAATTCAAATGAACTTGGGATTTTTATAGGTTAAATAAAACCAGCAATCATTATTCCCTACTTTCAGCAGCATATGTTTCAGTTTAAAAAGAGGCTGAAAAAATCTGCATTATACTTTATCTCAAATTTCAGTTTACCACATTAAATGCCATCTACAATAATTTTTAATCATTATTAGCCTTGTGTCAGGGGGAGAAAGCAAAGGTTTCTTCACCTGTTCTTTGTTTCAGCAGATGTAGAACTGTCTTCTGCCTTCTCCTCTGGTCATAGAGAGCAGAGGCAGGAAAGGAGTTCAGTGGAAAAGGAGATTTCTCTATGAGGGCCTTTCCCACTCCTGCCCCACTGGAGAGATCAGTGGGTGGTGCCCATACATCATTTCAAACTGCAGATATTTGCCCTACCAAACAGGTATCTGACTCTTTAAATGTCTGCAGGATGCAGGAATCTGGTTCCACATTTTCTGAGCTTGTCTTGCAGTGAGAAGAAAAGAGATCTCTGAAGCTGAAATTCATGTTTGTATAAGCAAGATTTGACAAAAAAAATCTTGCTTGTATGCTTTGGATTTTATTGCTTGTAAAAGTCCCTCGGGAGCACTGTGCTATTAGAGAATGTTTCCTCTTGAGAATCTAGCCAGTAGCTGCTAAAATATACATAATTTTGCATTATTTGCAAAGGGCATTGCTATCGGAATATCAAAGACCCAAGAATGCAGAGTTACTGAGAAAAGCGAATAATATTCTATAAATCATGTATCTAACAATTTATGTTCTTTCTTGCTCACGGGAAAGCTATAAGCAGAGAGTGGTTTAATCAGATTTATTTGTTATTCAAAGACATTTAGCCATTTTTATTACTATCACCACAAGTTCGAGAGATTTTGATGCTTGGTATGCATTATTTGGGCTCTGTGGCTTTGTTGAGATCTCAGGATAAACACCCTGGTATCATACCTGTTCCCTCACTGAATTAAAGCACAAGCTCTGTGGTATGAATAGTCATTCTATTTGGTGCAGGCAGGGAACTACGAGGTGAAATTCTGCAACTTCATTATAAAGAAGGTCACCCTAGATCTTGGTTGTTCCTTCTGGCTTTAAAACCTATGCATTTATATCTGTAAATTTAAAGTTCAGGGTCTGTGAGTCCCCAAATAAACCACCCTAAGAGAGTGTCAGCTTTTTACACACATGACTCCTGTGAGCCTCACAGTGCAGCTGGAGTGACTTCAGGCTCTCAGTGCTGTAGGAGTTAGGATTAAACCACAGTTTTTAGCCCACACTTCATTAATTACACTAACACCTTTTGACCTTCGTTCTCAGCTGTAACATACATTGTATACATTTCCAAAAAAGCAGCAATAGAGTGGGAAAAAATAATTTTGAAAATAACCATCTGTTTGGGGAAAAAATTATGTAATTTAATGTTTTCTTGATGCTAATCATAACCTATATTAAAACCTTTTTGTCGACAAAGACGTTACCGCCCTAGGAGAATTTCAGCTTTTTGTGACAGCAAAATTCACACAATGGGCCAAATTAAGCCTCTTTTCATCTCCTTGTCTCACACTGAGGCTGGACGCAGGACTAGCTCATACCTTGCTTATTACAAGGTCAGTGCAAGGTTAATGCTGATGCTAATGGAAGTCTCTGCAGTCACTGTTTAGGGGCAGACAAATATTTGAAGGAAAATTGTCATATGCACACACATGCACACAGAGGCTTGCACACACACACACATATTTAGGGGGGAGAGAAACAAGGATATCCCTAGAGCTCAGCTCTTCTTTGAAGATCTAAACACAGTAACCAAAAGTTAGGGAGGCTCAGCACTACATTCTGTCTGTGACCCTCAGAAATGTTCAGGATTGATACGTGTTCATCTGGTATGTGCCAGCTGCAGGGGTGGGATTTGCAGCATCCCCTTGGTGTGCCAGGGCCCCAGGGGCACTGGCTCTCTGTGTCCCTGCAGTGACAGGGTCTCCAGGCACACAAAGCCAGCCCAGCACCGAGTGTCTCCTCCCTGCTGGCTTCCCACAGCACACAGTGTGTATGTGTGTGCCAGATTTGCAGGTAACAGTTCACATGGTTGCTATATATAAAATCAGCACTTCCAAATGTCTCTACTTCTTATTCCTGCAGCAGAAGAAATATGAAAGTCTGGGCAAAATATCAAAGATTTATGCACTTTAGTCCATCACCCCTCTGGATAGACTTATAAGGGAAATTCAGAGTCTGTCACAGGGGAGAGAACCCACCTTCCCTTTCATACACTTTGTCCTCTGTCTCATGGAAACACTGTCTGAGCTTCAGGCCAGTCTCCTTCCACCATGGCTCATCCTCTAGGCTCACCATAACTCAGATTTAGCAGTACACACACTTCTCTTCTGTGTAAAGTTTCCTGTTCCATGCTCTGAGCTCATCAAGTTTATTTATCTCATCACCAGCCCCTGGGTTCCTTCTTCTTCCATGCAGGACACTAGAGAAGTCATTTCCCCCAGTGCTGACCCCTCAGAAGCAGCAGGGTGCTGTGCCCTGTGTAGCTGCACAGAGAGGCTTGGTGCTTCCATTTCCAGTGGTTTGGCAGAGCCTGGCAGTGGAGCTGGAGCACAGGGAGGAGAGCACCACGGCCCCCCAGAGCACAGCAGACCTGTGACACCAGCAGACATTCCCAGGTCCTGTGTCACCACCTCACCTCGATGTGTGCAAGTTGGTTTAGGATTGTGGTGCAAACATTCAACACTAGGGTTCATTCCAAAAATTAGTTCTTATCTGGGTGTCCCAGGAGAGAGTTCTGCATCGCAGTACTCTTCCCCAAACTCTCTTCCTTGGCAGACCTCGGCCAGGGGACTCACACTCTGGCCAGGGCAGAGCACACTGTGGCTCATTAGATGTCGAGCTGATGTAGTCATTTTGGAGAGATGCCAGCCTTCTGTGCAGCAAATTTGCATCTAAATACACAAGAATTGTATAAACTAATTCCTAAATGGATGAGCAGTGCACTTGTCCTCTTTCAGAGTCCCCTTGCAGGATCCAGGCTGAGGAATGTATTTTGCATTGTGCAGGATTTGCAGGGAGCAACCCTCATAAACACTGTCTTTAAACAGCACATAAAAGCCAGAATTCAGTGTTTGTTTTATAAGCTCTGGCCTTAAAATTGTTTTCTTACTACCACTTCTCAAAAGGTCACCTTTAAAAGACTGTGTATTTTCTTGCCACCAGGTTAATGGTCATCTGCTTCCTCAAACTTCACAAAAAAAGTGAAGTAAAATTCAGCCCAGAAGCAAAAAAAGAATATCTAAATTACCTCACCTACAAAACAACACAAACATTAACAAAGAACCTCCAAACTTTGCATTACATCATGAGCAGTCTACCCATGTCCTGTGGCTAAGATTTGTGGATTATTTGGG